AAAGGGTAATTTAGGAAGGTAGGAGGAACTTATTATGAGCTATTCCTTTTAAACTTCATTCACTGCTTCTGTCCTGAAAACTATGACTGTAGTTTTTCAGCTGGTGGAGCATGACTTGGGATGTCTCAAGCATCTGCTGAGGAACAAATACTATATTCTTTCATTGTGAAGAACTGGTGAGCTCCACAGCCAGGAGCCTTTAAGGGCAATCTTACTTTCCCTGCCCCTGCTTAGGGTCTCCCTTTTGTTATCTGCTTGTTCTCTTTTGCACCTCCCACCACCCTGCGTCTCTTCTCTGGTCTGCATTTAAGGGGACCTTTTTGTATCAGGCCATCCTATAACACTGAGAATTCTTGTCTCTCTGAACTGCTCAAAGTTAAGACTCTGAGAAGAAACATGTTATAAATATTTTCATACCTGTTCCTGTTTCTATTGCTACACTTTAATGAGGGCCCATCTGTACAGGCTGTAGTGAATGCCTGTCACAGCCACTGTTTGCTTGAGAATTAATTTTCACTGGGCACTGTTCCATCCTCTCCTTGCCTGCCATGCCTAATATCTCTGTGCTGCATATTCAAACCACTTTGATGAGCTGCTGGGTCCCGACTGCAAGATAGCTGTAATGGAAACAGGTAAGGGTTGTTGGTCTCACCCCAAGAAAAGTCCAAGGTAAAGATAACAGACTAATGAAGGCATTGGGGATGCAGACTCTTTTCACCATTTTACCCCATCATTTTCAGTGCGTTGACTTCTGTTCTTATGCTTGTCACCTCATGGCTGAAAGATGAATGCTGTGCTACAAGTTCCTATCACATCCATTCTCTGGGCTAAAAGAAAGAGGACATAGGGGTAATGATACCAGCACCCTTCTAGCAACCCTCATTATCTAGAACTGTCACAAGGCCAATCAAAGTTCAAAGGGGATGACAAGTATAAACTTTAGTTTCTTGCTTCTGTAGGAGAGAAAGATATGGAAAGAGAGAGTTGGAAATGCCATTGTATCTGCTAAACTGTAGTGCTTGCCAAAACAGTGGATGGATGAAGTCCCTTGTCAACTCCCTGATGGTCAGAGTGATTGATTCCATGTTTCTGAAATTTTACTATCAAATTCCTTCTCTAATTTCACATGGCACACTCCACTTGTTTAAAATTTAAATATTCACTCCGTAGACTACACTAGAACAAAGATGGTAATCACAATGATATTGATCTGTTCATTAAGTCCCTCCATTAATATTTAACTATTGAGTATCTTTATCCTGTTGCCAAGCACGGAAACACAATGTTGACTGATGCGTATTTCCCGTCATTGAACGTCTCTCTAATCTGTATAGTGCTTTATTCATTAGAAATGCTTTCAGCTACTAAAATAAGAAAATTCAGCTCACAGTGACTTAAACCATATTAGCAGTATATAAGTTACTTGGAAAGTTTAAAAGTAGGTGAGCAACTATACAATGCTAAAGTGCTGGGATTAAGTCTCTGTGATCTCTCTTGTGGTTATAATAAGGCTGTCACAACCAACAGGAAGGTGAGACAACGGTCTCTCCTGCCTCTTTATTTAGGCTGAGAACACAATCCTCTTCATGGTCTCCTTTACAGACTCATTGGTTAGAACAGGGTCAGTGGCCACTGTTCTCTTTAAAGGAGGGGATGGTAATTAATATTAGGTAGCCAACCAAGAGTGTTATCATAAATGCTGTACAGCTTTCCACTTACTTTTACATTCACAATCTCTTCTTGTGATGCGAGACTGCTATCTAAATTACCCAAAATTCAAATCTGGAACAGGAGGCAGAAGCAGCACCAGCTATGTGGGAATTTATGACTATAAAGTCACTTAAAGATACTTTGCAAATTTAATGTAAGGTTTTAAAGATATTAAAATGCATTTTGCCTATAAAGTATGCATACAAGAACCCAAAAGGTAATTTGGAGACTTTTATAGTTTGGGAAGATCACATGGTAGAATGAAAGAGAAATCAAGGTACATGTATTTTAGGCTCAGCTTTGGGTAAGGCACTGAAAGGATTCTAAGCCTCTGTTTTCTCAACTATAAAATTATGTACTTGAACAAGATTAGATGATCCCTAAACCACTTCTCAAATATGAATAACTATATAGTTATGATACAGGATATCATGAGCCAAAAGAATATGAAAAGTCATATTTTAAATTATTTTATTCAAACCAGGTAACTTAGGCCTAGAAAGATCAAAATAATTTGTCTAAATTTACTCATTTAAGTTAAAAATTTAAGTCACAGTATATAATACACTATAATTTTACAAATAATTGATATTATATCCTGAGGAACTTTTAAAAAAATTTGGTTTCTTCCTCTCTCTTATGTTTTAGACAGAACTCTCTCTGGCAGCGTTTATACTGTTTAATAGAATGAATATAATCAGATTTTTAAAAAGTCCTCTCCTAGCTCTAAGTTCTTGGGCAAATTAATTAACCTCTCTGTAAAATATTAATTGTGCCTTCTTCATATTTTTTTCCTCATTCAAGGACTAGATAATGTAATCTATTAGGAAACCTCAGTGTACTGACTGACACGCAACAAGGACTCCCCTCTGTGGAAACCATGATTGCCACTAATTTCTCTCTAGCCCTTCTCGCAAGTGCTTAAAGCTCCGCCAAGCTTGAGAAAGTGTGCTAGACCCATTTCCCCAGCAGGTTGCGTGGGGTGAGTCTGAATCTCACTATTATTATTTTGTCTTTATATGATCATATCTTCTACCTTCACATTACACAGATACAAGCTCTGCGTAATAAGGGTGTGGTACCTAACTGCAAGTCAGACCAATCATCATTATGCTGTCACTGAGCTCAGTGACTGGTGATTAAATTAAAAAAATAAAAGAGAAAACCAAACAAAAACTGAAATCAGGGATTCTGGGCCTGGAATTCATGGATGGGCTTTGAGGGAATGAGAATCGCCTGCTGTTCCATCCCAGCAGATTTCTCACCCTCAGTACCATTGGTTCTCCAGGCTGGGTAATTCTGGGCATTCTATTTTCTCCTGTGCACTGTGTTCGGCAGGATCCCTGACTTTTACCCACTTGACACCCGTAACCCCTCCCCAGTCCTGGGTCGTATCATCAAAAATACCTCCAAACCATGCCAAGTGTCTCCTTCCTCCCCTTAGGGCCTCTGTAATAAAGCTTAATATGTGTTTGTCTTTTTTTTCCTCCTGGGTTGGGAGGAGGGCTTGTCGGTTTCATCACATTCTAAAAAGGTCTATGACCTGGGGTCAGCAGGTGGTGTAGTGCTTAGGGTGCTGAACTCCCACATGACCAACTGCTAGCAGTTCCAGTCCTGGACCAACAGCTTGAAAATTATGCTGGGCATATGTGTAAATATGCCCCAAATCCTGAGAGGAGACTATATGAGAAGGGATTGTCTCTCTGTCTCTCTCCCTTGAGCACAAATGCCCTATGGCAAAAAAAAAAAAAAAACCCCACAAACTACCTCCCCCCAATAGTTTATTTTCTCAAAGGGTTGGAATCAATTATTTAAAGCCTTTTTTTTTTGCAGAAGTTTTTGCTATAGGGTGTGGGCACTCGCAGAAAGACAGAGAGACAGAAAGGGAGAAATTACCCTCCAGGGGGATGGCCACGCTGCAATTCCTTCTCCTCCATTCTCCTCTTGGAATCTTGGGCACACACATACACGTGCCCCGCGTGAGTTTAAGTCACTGAACCTGGGACTCGAACCGCAGTTGGCTACATGGGAGTCCAGTGACATAGCCATTACGCCAACTGCTGGTCCAATTATTCAAAGCGTTTTAAAATAACAGTGAAAGAATGTACATCTTCAGCTGTAGTTGTGGGGGAAATGTACAGCATCATAGCTAATTAAAAAGTTCCCATTTAAGGTCCATCAATGACCCACAGGTAGCAAAATTGCTTGGGAGGCTGAAAGAAACACAGGAAGCCAGGGTTCAGGTCCAGCCTACACCAACACACTAACTGGGAGACCAGCAGGAGAATTTTAACAGAGTCTCTGTCAAAAATGCCTATCTTTGTCTCTCAATCCTTTCACTTTGTAATTTTTTCATAAGGAAAAGAAATATGAGGCAATTAGAAAATGTACTTTGAAAGATATACCTACCCATTTATTATTTTCAACTGCTTTGAAAAGGCACATCACAAAAACTGTGTCTGGGAAAGTAACTACTTGAAAAACTGCTATTCCCAGATGGCAGGCTTCTTAAAACATTGTCTTCGGCAGAGCTCCCACAGGCATTAACGATTAGCTCTAAAATTCCACAGGGGTTAGCACGCTAATGACAAGTTTAAAAAGACCTCAAGACCAGCGGGGACATCAAAATCAGTTGTTCCCCATGAAAGAAATCGAATGGTGGTATAGATTGTAGGATTGATCAGAAGAAGGGGTGGAGGGCAAGGAAGGAAGGAAAGGGCGAAGCAGGAGAGAAAGAGAGAGAGAAGAGAAAGAATTGAGGGAAGGGAGAGGGAGAGCGGGAGAGAGGAAGAGACAGAGAGATATCTAAAGATATTCTCTAAGTGAGCATCTCCTGGGGAGACCCGCTAGAGGTCTTCCCCTGCCTCCTGACTGGCTTGTCTGGAAAAGCGGCTGCCCCCAAGGAATCCAAGAGTCTTGGACTCTTCCTCTAGTCTCAGCTCCATGTCCACACCCACTGTGTTCACTGCCTTCCAGAGTGACCACTTGTCAAGTACCTCAAAGCTCAAAAGCCTCATTTTACCCCTTCTTTAAGGACGTCCTCCTTGTCTTCATCTCCTAAAGGCAACAGGAAAATCAGAGCTTAAGACTCAAATACTAGAACCAGAAAAGCAAAACCGACAATGCGTCCAGTGCTCTGTGGCCCCTCGGGAGCTCCGGAGAGGACTAGTAACTTTCTCCCTACTTCTCGATCGGTGCCGCCCCCACCCTCCCTTTGGAAGTAGACGCAATGGGAGGGCGGCGGGAGGTGGCTCGGGGCGCCTGGTGCCGCGAGAGCAGCCGCCCAGCCGAGGGGAGGAGGCGGTGCGTGCCTCGCCTGCCAAAGGCAGGGCAGTTCGTCTGCGTGCGATCCCCGGCGCCCCGCGCGCGGCCGCAGCGCTCAGTCAAGCCGCCGCCTCCGACACGCCGGGACCGGGGTGTCCCCTGCGACCCGAGCACCCGTTCTTCTGGAAACCCTCCGCCTTGGGTCGCCCCCTGCTCCCCCAAGTCAGGCCGCGGGTCTCTGAGGCTGTTAGGGACAGCGGCGAAGGGAAGGGCGGTCTTCTTTGGCGTGGATGTTCCCGCCCGGGAACGACAGCAAGTTGTGTGCGCGCTCGGGACCCGGCAGAGAAGGTGGCCGCCGCCCGCCAGCCATGTAAGTAAAGCTCTCTCGTGTCCCGCGGGCGTGGGCTCCCCTTCTTTCTCTCGGCCCCCCGCACTTTCCCGAGCGCTGGAGTTGGGCTGCTCCCGAGCTCCGGACTTCCTGAGCTAGGCAAATCTATGGGCTCTGCCAGCCCGCCGCGGCCGCCTCCGGGGGGTGCTGCCTTCCCATCCTTCTCCCCTCCCTTCGTCCGGAGCCGAATGGAAAATGCTTTTCTCCTCTTTTCGAATTGACGGATCATTGTGTGTCTCCTTGAGTGGAATAGGTGGGTGAGGCGATCCAGGGGACGAATATGGGGTTGTCTTGGTGAAGCTGCCTCATCCCAGCTGGAGAGGAGGGCCTTCCTTCCCCCATGCCACCCCTTACTGATCTCCCCAGTCTCAAGGCCCAGACAGATCAACTTCTGCAGCATCAGCTGACAGAATTAACAAGAAAAAGTAGCGGACTTCTCTTTGTGTGCCATCCAGAACTGTAGTTGGGGGTCGGGGGGGGCGGTGCAGGGGAAATGGGTGGGGACAGGTAGGGGAAGGAGGGATTTGCCTGGGACTCTCAAAGCTGGAGTTAGGAGTTCTGGGGATGGAACTCTAGGGTGGATGAGCGCTGTCCTTCTGTATTCCTGCCTTTATAGAAAGTGTGGAAAATGAAACTCTTTTTCGAAAGTGGTAGAAGTAGATGCACCTAGATGGATTTGATGACTGAGGTTTGACGTTGAGTACTGAAAAGTATGAATTACTTCTCAGGAGAGACAATTATTCAGCCTGAGCAATGGTTCCAATAAAATGGAACCCATTAATCAAAATTGTCATAAGAAAATAAGTTGCACACGGTCTTTCTTTTACACTAAAAGATACTTGAAGGAATTTGCAAGTGCTGTTGAATGAGTGAGTACTAGTAGTATCTGATAATATAATAGTTCTATCCCACGTATATGCCTTGACTGTCATGTTTGTTGAATTTATGGTACTCTGCAGTTGTGAAAAATTATCCCAATTATTTGGGCTCATCCAGAGTTAATGCACCCTTAAAGGGACACAGGAAAGTTGCTAAAACTATGAGCATGAACTTGCAAGCCAATAAATAAACTATGGTATGGTTCATTTTGTTTTAATATTCTGAATTACGTTTACTGTCAGTAAAAATGCTACATTACTTCTAATGTGAGTATATGAAATGAATTCATTGGCTGGGCAAATAGAAGTCATGCATTTGTTTAAGTAAAGAGGTGTCAGAGTTAATCTGGGAGCATTTACAGGAGGTAAAGACATGGAAAGCATTGAGCTCGTTTGACAAAACCTGAGTTAAAGAGAGGCTTATAGAGAGAATTATTCTCTCCACTTTTGAAGTCTTGCGGGGAATTTGCATGTTTGTTAGTCAAAAAATTGTAGGCTGACTGAATTGGTATTACCACTTCTCTAAAAGCATTTAACCTTTTAATATTTCTTATTGATATTTTACCAGGGACCATCATCCTTACTACAGAGAATGGGAAGTTGATACCCAGTAAGACCGAAGATCCATTCTGTTAATAGACACTCCCTCCTTGCAGAACTGTGGATTACCTGTGGGTCTCTGGTGATTTCTCACCTTCGCTCAGTCTTGTGGTCCCCAAACATTTACTTTGGGTCCTCCCTGGCCTTTCTGGTGAAATATGGCATCCAGCCTGACTTGTACTGGGGTGATCTGGGCTTTGCTCTCCTTTCTTTGTGCTGCCACCTCCTGTGTGGGGTTCTTCATGCCTTACTGGCTCTGGGGATCACAGCTCGGCAAACCTGTGTCCTTCGGTACTTTCCGGAGGTGCTCATATCCTGTGCATGATGAGAGTCGACAGATGATGGTGATGGTGGAGGAATGTGGGCGCTATGCCTCGTTCCAGGGCATTCCCAGCGCAGAATGGAGGATCTGTACCATAGTGACGGGCCTGGGTTGTGGCCTGCTCCTCTTGGTGGCGCTCACCGCCCTCATGGGATGCTGCGTGTCTGAGCTCATCTCCAGGACAGTGGGAAGAGTGGCTGGAGGAATTCAGTTTCTAGGGGGTAAGTAACATGCTGAACTTGGGTTTATTGGAATCCTCAAGTGGTATTGAAAATTATGGCTCTGCTGTCTACTGAGATGGTTGTACTTGACACTTGGAATGTACAAGAGAAATTGATAGAGAATGTCTTTGGCAATAAATTGCCAAAGTCAAAAATTTTTACTAGAATTGCTTTTCAACTTGAGGAACTCTAAATTTCTGTGTGTCCCTAGACAACACATCATTGGCCTACTAAGTACCATTTATATGAGACGGCAACATCTAAGTTGTTTGTTATGTATTCATAGCAGGAGAGACAGTTTGTACTTTACAGTTTCTTGCTCTTTGTGTTCAACAACAGGCAATTAGATTATCTTTGTCGTACGGGAGTCCCCAGAGGTAAAGATTTCATTGAAAAGTGGGAAAGGTTTCTGATTCACCATTGCCATCATAAACCTTTAATATGCCTTTGGTAGTTATGAAACTGACACCTGCCTGACCTTGAAGTATATTTATAAATAAGTATTACTGTTTTTAATGAGAGATAAATTTTATATTAACAACCATGAACTTAGCTATGCTGCAAAGATAACTGCTTTGTTAGGACTCAACTTCTCTGGGAGCTTTTGCTGTGAGAGGGAATGAAAACAAAAAAGAATACTTTGCCGATGATGTGTGCTTGTCCCAAATGGACTGGATAGTTTCACTAACACCAGAAAAGGTTGATTTTTACTTGGATTTCCTCCAAGAAGTATTGCTTCCATATCTCTGGTCATATGGTTTTAATTGTACTTTATATATTTTCCACTATGCTTTTCACCTCCATTCTTCAACCTGGCTGGCTGAACTTGTCTGATTTACAATCCAACCTTGTGAAATATGACAACCTCCATAGATAGTGCAGAGTGAAGAGAAATAGGAAACCTGGAAAACTTATGTATTTGTAACTTCCATTACAAAGTCTGTTACTCTTCCCTTTTTTTCTTACAGTCTTTTGTGAGGAATCCAGAAGAAGCGGAAAAAAAAAAATCAAAACGCATAGTTCTGAGATAGTTTCAACGTATTAGTGAACCCGAACTAGTTATTTCAGATATTTAGTATAAAAACTTACAATAATTTTTTTTTTTTTTTAGAGATTTTTGCTATAGGGTGTGTGCACTCGCCAAAGAGAAAGAGTCAGAAAGGAATAAATCACTCCCCAGGGAGGATGGCCATGCCATGCTGCAATCCCTTCTCTTCCATTCTCCTCTCAGGATTTTGGGTATGTGCGTGCGCGCGCGCACACACACACACACACACACACACACACACACAAACACACACGGTGTGCGTTTTAAGCTACCATGTAGGAGTCCAATGACATAACCATTATGTCATCTGCTGATCCCTAAATAATGTTTTAAGAAATATCTACTTTTTGAGCTGAAAATATGAGTGGCCAAGAATTTTGTGTTTTTAAACAAGAGATAGGCTTGTTGGCATTCCTTTATTTCCTTACTGGATATAACTATCTTTCCATCTGTTTCCCCCTCCTGTGGTTTTGCATTTTAGTTGGCCCTAGGAGGCAGTCTGGGAGAGTGGGGGAGCAATCTAGTTGTCCTTGTCTTTCTTGCTTCAATATTGAACACTGAAGATAAAATTCGTTCAGATGATGTGTATATTTACACCAAAATACACTAAAATTATTAGGACACATGAAGAGGTTTCCGTTTGAGGTGGAAATATAAATTCAGAGTTTGAAAACTTGTTGATAGCATGGATTTTTCAGAATAGAACTCTTGCCAGGAATATTTTAAACATTTTTTCTTTAAGAATAAACTTGGTTCACTGTTTGTGTTTCACTTGGCTCAGGAAAAATGCTTAGTTTTATTTTCTCCTCTTATGGTGGATATTATTTTCTATTTTTTCTGCATTTTAGGGAAGGGACTATTCTTTCTGGCAGAACAGGAAAATGCTTACAAAGAGAAATCAGTTTTTATTGATTACCTTTAAATGTATAATGAAGGAAAGCAACAGGAAGTGAATCTGAGACCCATGAGATTTATGCTTCCCTCCCTAAGCTATGTATAGATTTTTTTGAATTATGTAGAGCTAAATGTTCTACTTTACAGAATACCCAAGGGGCCAGACCACTTCTAAATATATACATTTAGAAGGACCATTTTGTAATTCTTTTTCTACAAGCTTTCTATAAGCTCTGGCTTGGTAAGAGTTACTGACATTAAGCTGTGGCTATCATTTGTTACTAGCAGTTGGTATTCTCTTATTTCTTAGATATATATGTTTCTCAAATCTGACATAAATAATTCTGAATGTAAAATCTAAGAGGATTTTTCTGATTCTAGCATCTTGAAAGCACAGGCAAGTAAGTATGCCCATTACCAAAGATAATAGTAAATTTGAAATTTAAAAGTAACTCAAAATACGGATAAGGTTTTGAAAAATATGGCATTAATTACTCTCATTGAATGCTAGACTATGACAAAAAAGTTGCATCAGAAAGAATTCCTCCTGTTGTTTGTTTTATAATTGTTTGGGGTTTTATTCATAAAAACTGAAGTGATAATTTTATTTTATTAAATTTACATTAAAATGGCTGCGTTTACGTGAAATGCTCACCCAGTTAGTTCAATGAATCTCATGGACTACAATGCTTCAGAAGTGTAATGGACATACGGGAGTACTCTGCTCTGAGGCAGATTCTTTTACTAAAAATGATTCACCCAGAAGGGTTATGTTTAGCTAAAGTTAGAATTGCTCCAAAAACAACAGGAAGCAGGAGAATGGTAAAATACAGAGGCATCCTGCTTAACCCTGCCTGCTGTGTCTAGAGTTTGCACATATGGTGTAACATCAGGCAGTGAAACCCCTGCAGTACTTTGGAACAAGGTAAAGGACAAAGTGTCAACCTTAATTTTGAATCCTCTTGCTACGGTTGGTTAGAGGTTACAATGTCACCTGTCAATGGATTGAACAACCTAAAATGGGATCATTGGCAGGGACGTTTGCTGCCTATTCAGAATACCTCAAGGAATCAACGACTACTACTTTTCCTGTGGTAACTTGTACATCAACCCTAATTGCCACCTTAAACATTTCTTATAATAAGACTTGTGTATGTGATAATTAAAAACAAAACACTGTGAGTTGATTATCACCCTCAACTGAGTTTTTAAAAGATGTCTAGAAAGACTTGGAGAGTATCTGGTATTGAACAAATGTTAGTATGTATTTAGTATGATAAGAATGCTCTGAGAAAATACTGATTTTAATGATGTTTTTGTTGAGTATAAATATGTGTTTTACAATAGAGTTGTGACCATTAAGGACTTCAATAGAAGTTAATCTTTTTTTTTTTTTTTTTTTTTTTTTTTTGGGCTAGAAGGCATGTATGTTTGCCAGAGAGAGAGAGAGAAAAAAAAAAAAAAAAGAGTGGGAGAAGGAAAAGCAAACCCCAATGGGGTGTGATTATGACACAAACCCTTCTCTTTCATTTCTCCATCCTATTGGAACTTGGGCCACACATGCACAAACACACCTAGTGTTTCTCAAAATACTGATTCTGGGTCTCAACCACGTGGTCAGCCATCTGATTTCCTTAAATACCAGGCCACTGAACTGACTCAAGTTTAAAAAAATTATTATTAAACCTTTTGATATATGTATTAGCACTATTGCATTTATATGCTTTGTAAATGAAACAAGAAGAACATTGTAAAATCTTAAATCTCTGTGTAAGTTTGTTCAGCTGGTATTTGCAAATGTCAGAATCTGAATTTGTAGATTTCATCTTAAGAAACTGCAGGTGGTGTAATGAGGAAATATTAAAGAGAGTCCCAAGTCTGTATTATTTCAGATATGGCTTGCACGTGAGTGACATATACCTCTAAAAAGGCTGTGGAATGCTAATTAGCACTGAACGGCTACCTTTCCAGTTTAGATAGTATTCAATTCTAAGAAGCTGAGGAATATCATGTCCTCAACTAATTGATAGTTAAGTGCTGCTCAAGACAGTAATGATGACAGAGTGTTTGTCTGGGTATCCCTTTCTCGGTATGCTGAAAGCATCATTGTCTTTCTAGTCTCCTAACTGCAGAGTCCCTCCCACCTGGGTCTGTCTTTGATCCTTTTAGGATGGACTTGGGCCTCTCCTTGCCATGCTCTACTTGAAACCTTACTTGTCATATGATATGGCATATTAAGCTTTCCTTTACATCCGGTCCAGTGACAGCTGAGTAAAAAGATAAATTCTAAGTGTCGGCACATTAGTGGACACAGTGGCTTTCTAGTGACAGTGTCTTATTTAAAAGAAGTTGTTCTAATTTCAAGAAATCCAGGAACTTCTTAGGCCAGTTTGGGCAGCAGGGCTCTTTCTGCTCCTCTTTAAATTACACACGGTAGATCACTAACCATTCTTGTTTAGTTGCTCCACCCTACCGTATAGTGGGAGTTATTTTGAATTCTGAGCCTGTGTTTCCAAACTTTAGCATGCATCAGAATCAACTGTAGGACTTTTTAAAACACAAGTTGCTAGAGGCCGGCCCAGAATTTCTGATTCAGGAGGTTTGGTGGGGAACCTGATGATTTTCATTCTTAACTAGTTTGCAGATGACATTGATACTGTTGATCCTAAGACCACAGCTTGAGAACTCTGTTCTAAGTTAGCTATTTCATATTTTAGGAAACATCATTTCTGGTAGATGGTTTGCTTTGAGAACTTGAGTTATAGTTTAGTTTGTCATGATCTGACATAAAATTCTAATTGGATTATAAAAGAGTCCCACCTCTATAGTTTGGTTGAACACATGCTATTTCACCTTGTTCTTGTCACGTTATTTATTCCCTCTCAATACATATTATATATGAACGCACCTTTTACTCACTGTTCCTCTGTACCAGAAATAAGATTTTATAAATGGAAAACTAAAAATAAGGCTCTAGTACATCATCTGTAGTTCACATGCAGTGGATTTTCAGGAAACAATTTCTGACTGAAAGATCTGAAGACCATACTCAGCCCTT